GGTGACACTGCTTGTTTATGAGACGAGGGGTGTTAGAAATTGTCTCACTTTCACTTTAAATCATTATTTGGAATATTTTAGGTTTGTTTTCCTTATGATTGGTTCCGTTCTTACGTGTGTTTTTTTGCTGTGTTATGTAATATACTCATTGATCATTACCCTTATAGCAATTGCCTTTATTCATGCACTACTTATTATTTAAGGCTCGAATATAATATATGCAACAGTGACGGATCGTGAATCGGAAAGAATAGAAACAATGCCAGACAGTTTGATACAGTCAGAAGCTATGGGAGTCCTTAAAGCTATGTATGGGGATGAAATTCCGGAACCTGATGCCATCTACGTCACACGCTGGGTGTCCGACACTGCATCATATGGTTCCTACTCACTATGGCCCATAGGATTCGAATCTGAAGACCATATTTTATTAACGGCTCCTGTAAGGTATTTGTTTTTCGCCGGAGAACATTCCAACCTTCCCCATTGGGGAGAGGTTACAGGAGCGTATTTTGCTGGAATTGAAACAGCAACTACAGTTTTGGATTGTATAAATCTTGGATGTTGAGCCTAATAACACACAAACGAATCAAAAATCATTTTTGTTATTTTTGTATGATTTTGTATGGTTGTTATGTCGACGAGCACCTTAATGATGGGCTCCTTTTGGCACCATTATTTTTATTTATATTCATCAATAAAATGACAATGTCTACAGTTCTATTCAGTATTTTAACACCAAATTTTGACAAGTTTTTCTAATGTGATAATCCTTACTAATTTCTTTTATTTCAGTGATACTTAATACGAAATGTCCATTTTTAAAAACGGATCACCAAATCCTGCATTTAAACATTTTGAAATGAAAACTTTGTCGTCAGGCCCTGTTTTAAATATTGACCTACAATAGCATAATCCGATATTATCTTATCATACGTTCAGTGCCACATTTAATGGTGATTTTATTTGATGCACATCGAAATATTGGGTGAATAAAATGTTTGTGAACTTGCTGTTCAGCGTCGCTTTTGTGGCGGCATGCACTGCTCAAGGTAGGACTGAATTATACAGTTTATTGGGGAAACCAGCTCTTAGCTTCAAGTAAAAGCCAATAATAGAGTTTAAGAATATGTTGTCCAAACTCATTTGAGTAATCTAAATTATTGGACTTTTTAGACATAATTATCGTGAGCTAAAATATTGTGAAATCGAGAAAAAGTAAAAAGTTTGAATGATATACTTGAAGATAAGACAACTGTGGCCATACTCGGTGGTGGAATGTCGGGTGTCATGGCACCCAAGACGTTGAATGATGCAGGGATAACAGATTTTATCATAGTAGAGTCACAGGCAGGGTTAGGGGGGCGAATGAAAAAGTTTGATTGGAGTTGAAGGCAATGCTACATTGGAATAAGGAGCTGGGTGGGTACATGGTACAACAGGAAATCCAATATGGGACTTCATAAAGAAGTTCAACATAAGTGGCTCTATCACAGACTACGAGGATTATACAGCGAGAGACGCGAATGGACAAGACGTCACTGCCCAGTTGGATGCTGCCTATGAACGTCTGGGAACTGCTCAGAATATTGAAAACTTTCTAGTGAATTGCAAATCCAAGAACAACGAAAGCGATACAAGATAGTAGCTCTTAGACTCGGAGGTTGGAATGCTAGAACAACCTTTGAAGACACAGCTGAATACTTTGACTACGACGGTGTTCCAAGGGAACACACATCGCTCATTCAAGGTGCTTTGTTACAAATTGACAAGTTTAGTCCCGATGATTATCGCATAGTTGACCCTAGGGGATACCGATTCATTGTACAAGCCACAGCCGATGAGTTTCTGAACCGCGGTGCTCCTCAATTGAGGATCAATGAACGGATCGGAATAGATACATCAAACAAAAATGGCGTTCAAGTAACTCTCGAATCTGGAGCGGCAATAAAAGCTGAATATGCCATCAATACCTTCAGTTTAGGGCTTCTTCAGAGTGGGAATATTATATTCAAACCAGCTTTAACATATAAGAAGCTTGAAGCAACCAATTCTTTTAAAATGTCTCTTTATACAAACATATTTCCGAAATTCCCCTCACAATTTTGGGAGGAAACGTAGTTCATAGTGCATACATCTAAGAGGAAAGGATACTATACGATCTGGCAAAACCTAAACCATAAAAAAGGTATTGTTCGGTAAGTTCTTCGCGTAAAACCAAGCATTTCGAGCTTTCGGGCATGTAATGTCATGTATGACTCAACCGAATTGTGGATGATTTCATACACTCGATCGTTTCGTGAATCCTAAACTTTGAATTCGGACTTCCGCTCTCATTTAAAGCCTTACTAAAAGACACACGTGGTTTACTAAATAATCTACATTTCATTGGGTCCTTGGTTTTATCATTTACACAATACGATGTGCATTATTTTAGGTTCAAACATAAAGTACGCAACACTGACTGGAACTGAATCGCAACGAGTTGAAATGTTGTCAGACGATCAAATAAAATCAGAAACGATGCCACAGTACACAATGCGATAGATGAAAATAATGGCATTGTGTAGATTATAGAAAGAAGAAAGATGCCATGGTACACGATGCAATAGATGGGTTAGATGGCGTTGTGCATATTAGAAAGAAGAAAGATGCCACGGTACACGATGCAATAGATGGGTTAGATGCAGTCGTGTATATTAGAAAGAAGAAAGATGCCACGGTACACGATGCAATGGGTTAGATGCGTTGTATAATATTAAAGAAAGAGGAAAGATGCTGTAACAACTGGAGTCACACTCAACTAACCGTGACCTAATACAAAATTACGAGACGTTGAAATATTTGAAATTACTATGGTAGCGTATGGCTAGAGAGTGTGATTGTTGTTATTAGATTTTAATCTACTTTAAAACTTATACTGTCTTACTCCCAAAATTATAAAACACAAAAAGATGATTGGTTTATATATATATGTGTAACTGTATTGATAAAACTTATCTAAAATGATATGAAATATGTACAATGAAGATGTACATGGTAAGGTCTCACAGAAATGTTTATCAAATAAGATACTGTTACAAATACAGGGTGTATCAAAAAGACGCAACAAGTAGTTATCTCGTAAAATCACAAAACTAGTGATGACTACATCAATTTCATTCAATGTATCATAAAGCCACCTCTCTCCTCTTTGCAATGATATGTCATTCATTCACATGTGATAATGGTTGGGTGAGAAATCCTTCCATTTGTACAGTGGGTCAAAATCGGCTCTGCGCCAAGTTTTAGATATTAAAAAAATTAGTGCAATGGCTAAGTGCCAATGGAAGTTCCTCTTACTTGAATTGTTGTGACTTTTTCTTTTGGAGCTATCTCAGGAGCATCTGTGCGCACAATTTCTCCACCAGATATTGCAAAACCTCGAGAAAGAATTGCCCGTGGGCTGCTTTTCTCTGCTTTAACCGACAGATGACTCAGGGCTAAACCATGCATGACGTGGACAGATCAGCGCATCTTTATATGCAAGGAAGTGGTGGCAATTTGGAGGGGTATAGGATGTATTCTTGCAAGAGTATGAGTATGAACACTTTACTGTCTATGCCACACCTGTCACGCCTTCTTCCAATAGCTCCTATGCCCCAAGAAAGGGGAAAAATGCCACGGTGCACGATGCAATTGATGGGTAAAATACCAATGTGCATATTATAGAAAGAGGAAGCCTGGTACGGTACACGATGTTATAGTTGGATCAGATGAGATGCCTTTGTGCTAAATACCCGTAGCCGACAAGTGAAATCATCGGTTCCAATAATTGAGGTTTTAAAAAGTTATTGCAACATTTTTTTATTTTTTTAATTCTAAAAATAATCTTTTTTCGTAAGACGTGATATTTTGCATGATTTAGAAAATACGTTATCACAATTCACCTGGTCTTTTTCAGACGAGGACTGATACCCAGGCTGATCTAATATGGTTATTGTTCTTATAACGCAATTTGATTGGCAAAAAGTGCAGACATTATGGGATCGTTTTTTGATGTAAGGTACCCGTGGGAACTCACCCCTTGTAAGCCCGTCACAGAAGAACAAGAAGTCATAATGCACTCCCTTCCCTTTAGATTTGACAGAAAAAGTTTACATTGTATTGAAAGCTTAACCCTGCTTGTAATTGAATACTAACTTTTCTTCCTCAATTACTGTTCAAAAAAAGAAATTTGATGGACTTGTAAAAATTGCCAACAGAAACAGTCTTTGCGTGGTTCGAAAGGTTTGCCGAACCTTTGAAGGAGAATGTACGAAAGAAGGTACTTCAAAATATACTTGTGTAGGGGTCATAATTTTCATTTAGAGATAGAGAGTTGTTATAAAAATGTTTTCAGCAATATTGCCGATGGTAATTTTGTTTGGAAATGTCGTTTTCCGTGATCACTCATGTCTGGCCCAACGTAAGAATTGCTATTTCTATTTTCGAAAGAATTTTTATATTTGTTAGTTGTTGAGCTGGGTGGGTACATGGTACGACAGGAAATCCCGTATGGGATCTTGTCCAGAAGTTCAACTTAAGTGGCTCTATTAGGGACCACAATGACTATACGGCGAGAGACGCAAATGGACGAAATGTAACAGCTGATCTCAATGAAGCATATGCTAGATTAGAAGCTGCCCAAGAATATGAGGACGCTCTGGCTGATGACAAAAATCAGAACAATGGAAATGATATAAATAAGAAAGTGGCATTACGGCTAGGTGGTTGGGATGCAAAGTCGATTTATGAGAACGCAGCTGAGTATTTTTATTACGATTTCGAATTTGGAGTGAAGTCGGAGTTTACTTCTTTAAAGCATGGTGTTCTTACCAGGACTACGGTCTTTCAAAAAGAAGATTACCGGATCGTTGACCGGAGAGGCTTTGTTCATATAGTCCAGGCTACCGCGGATGAATTTCTTAACCCGGATGGATCTCAATTAAGATTGAATGAACGAGTTACCCAAATCGATACACCTGGAAATAGAGTTATTGTGACGCTAGCTTCGGGGGCAACGATTGAAGCCGAGTATGCTATAACGACATTTAGTATCGGTGCCATGCAAAGTGGAAACATTACGTATGATCCACCGCTTGCGTACGAAAAGTCAGAAGCCATTAATCATTTCAAAATGGCGCGCTATACCAAAATATTTTTGAAATTTCCTACACAATTTTGGGATGATACAGAGTTTATAATTCACACATCCAAAAGAAATGGCTTCTATACAATTTGGGAAAATATGAACCACAACAAAGTAATGCCAGGTTTGTATGCGTCTCTTATATAATAGACAAAAACATTGAGAAGACTTGAGAAATTGAATATATCGACGTTTTTTAGAACGTTTGCTCGAACAATTAAGGTGACACTGCTTGTTTATGAGACGAGGGGTGTTAGAAATTGTCTCACTTTCACTTTAAATCATTATTTGGAATATTTTAGGTTTGTTTTCCTTATGATTGGTTCCGTTCTTACGTGTGTTTTTTTTGCTGTGTTATGTAATATACTCATTGATCATTACCCTTATAGCAATTGCCTTTATTCATGCATTACTTGTTATTTAAGGCTCGAATATAATATATGCAACAGTGACGGATCGTGAATCGGAAAGAATAGAAACAATGCCAGACAGTTTGATACAGTCAGAAGCTATGGGAGTCCTTAAAGCTATGTATGGGGATGAAATTCCGGAACCTGATGCCATCTACGTCACACGCTGGGTGTCCGACACTGCATCATATGGTTCCTACTCACTATGGCCCATAGGATTCGAATCTGAAGACCATATTTTATTGACGGCTCCTGTAAGGTATTTGTTTTTCGCCGGGGAACATTCCAACCTTCCCCATTGGGGAGAGGTTGCAGGAGCGTATTTTGCTGGAATTGAAACAGCAACTTCAGTTTTGGATTGTATAAATCTTGGATGTTGAGCCTAATAACACACAAACGAATCAAAATTTATTTTTGTTATTTTTGTATGATTTTGTATGGTTGTTATGTCGATGAAAGCCTTAACGATAGGCTCCTTTTGGCACCATCAGTTTTATTTATATACATCAATGAAATGACAATATCTACAATTCTATTCAGTATTTTTACATCTTTTGATATGTTGTTATAAGGTGATAGTTCTTACTAAAAAAATTATTTCAGTGATTCTTAAAATGAAATGTCCGTTTTTAAAAAATCCTCCATTTAAAAATTTTGAAATGAAAACTTTGTCGTCAGCCCCTGTTTTAAACATTGACCTACGATAGCATAATCAGATATTATCTTATCATACGTAATCTTATCATACGATCTGGACAACATTTAATGGCGATTATATTTGATGCACATCACAATACTGGGTGAAGAAAATGTTTCTGAACTTGCTGTTCAGCGTCGCTTTTGTGGCGGCATGCACTGCTCAAGGTAGGACTGAATTATACAGTTTATTGGGGAAACCAGTTTATTGGGGAAACCAGCTCTTAGCTTCAAGAACCAGCAAATAATAGAGTTTAAGAATGTTGTCCAAACTCATTTGAGTTGTCTGAATTATTAGGCTTTTTAGCTCACATGGTGAGCTTTTGCAATCACTCACGTGTCCGTCTGTCTGTCCGTCCCTCTGTGCGTGCGTGCGTGCGTGCGTCCGTCCGTCAACAATAGTGGCGCGTTTTAAAACCTCTATCGATAGGATTCCCGTTTAAGTTAATTTTGTTTCAAAATGGTCGCCATTTTTGTCTCGTGAAATTCAATTTTGGCCCATTTCCTAGCTTTACAAATAATTTCAGGTGTCCTGCATTGCAAAAAGCCATGTCACTGTAAAGAGTAGTTGTAGTAGTAGTTGAGTAGTAGTCTAGTATATAAATTCCAGAAAAAACTAAATCACAATTAAGGGAAGAATCAAATCTCAGAGCCATACTTAAAGCCACCCCATCCCTTAATGATAACCTTTATGTACACAATGGTCATATCCGTGCTCGGCAACCAGCAAATCGTCAACCAGTAACGCCTGCTGCGCCAACTCAGATTCCAAAGGTAATCAGAGACGCCCAACTAGCACCTGTGACCATTAAACAAGTTCCTCGTACTAATCGAGCACATCATCAGGAACAACGTCACCTTGCAGGCCAGCAGGTCAGAAATACTACCCGCCCTACTCAGCCCATTCAATCTGCTTCACAAACACAGGACCCACCAGCGCCAGTTATCACACCCCCAGTGCAAACAAATACACCAACTAGTAATAACCCAACTACTAGTGCGAATGGGGCAACTACAATTACCCACTCAATGCCTAATATTTCCCAATAGGGAAACAGCTAGCCAGCTTCGTCCCCCTGAGAGTCTCAGTATAGCGACATGGAATACAAATGGATGGTCAAGCCATGATAATGATAATTTAAGTTTTAGGAAATATGTTTTATATAGTGCCAATCTTAATTGTAATATAATGTGCATAAATGAATCGTTTTTACGATATTATGATGTGTTAAATATTGCATATAATAATATGGATAAATATGAATGGATAGGAAATAACCGATCAAACCCCCGCCCCAATGCCAGACGAGGATCCGGTGGTGTTGGCATTTTATTACGCAAGTCCCGTGTTTTGGATCACTTCACCTATGAAATCATCGATGAAAATATTGAAGATATATTGTGGATAAAATTAAACCCCAAAACCCACTGTAGTGATCAAACTCCTATTTGTTTATAATTATGTACAGCATATCTTCCCCAAAGGATTCGGCACGATCAAGCGACGCTGTGGATTTTTACAACACATTATTACAACAGCTGTACACACATCAAAACAACGACACCATTTGTATATGTGGAGACTTGAACTCCCACTGTGGCGACACAATGGATTATATTGAAGGTGTAGATAACATCAGAACACGTCTTGTCACTGATTTTACAGAAAACAGCTACGGTGACCAGCTTTGCGATTTTCTGACTACTGCTAACCTTTGTATGCTGAACGGACGATTTGGACCCAGTGAATTTACTTCAATCTCACACAAAGGGAAAGCGGTCGTGGATTACGTAATTGTCCCACATAAGCAGCTTTGCTTATGGAGTGACTTCAGTGTACGTACGATGGCTCATATTCTCGATGAACACCCAGTATTAGCAACGTACCCACCAAACGTAAAGCCCGATCACTCTATACTCGAGTGCCGCTACAACGTAATGAAGCCATCTCAGCCCCCTCCCCTAATGTCACACCGAATCAACTCATCACGCCTGGATCAATCATATACGAGGGTTATCCCATAAGTCTTGAAATTTTTATTCTAATTCATAGAATATTTGAGATACAATAATAAAAATTTCACATTTTGTAATTGAGATATATTTCTACTATCTCTGTAAGTTTCACAGCATAATAAGATCATTCGGCAATGTTACAGATGATTTAAAATGGAATGTCCGGGGTACCCGGGGCAGAAAACAGGATAAAAATACAAATATGACGTAAAAATTAAGGATTTGGGAACCCCTGGCTCAGCTCAACACGTTGCCTTTTCTGCTCCTCTATCATAATATGTGGAATGAATCTAGGGGCTACCTTTGACATCCCAAGGTCTTTCTTCATCACTCTGTGAGCAGTACTCTTACTTATATCAAAGTCTATGGCAATCTTCCTACACTGAGTAGTTCTCCTTTCAGCCCTTATACTCTGCAATATGTGGTATGAGATCGCCACTGGATTTTGATCTTCCTCCTCTAGCATCATCCTCCAGGCTGGTATCTCCAGTTTTTAACTTCTTCTGCCACCTCCATATTGTAGGTGCACTCGGAGTTTACTGTCTATATACTTTTTCCATGGCTGTTCTTGTTTGTGTAGCTGTATGCCATAAAGAGGCGTGTTATTGCACAACTGCACGCAAAGATTTAACATCGGGTGACAAAATCCCTGCCATTTTGATTTTCAAAATGCTGTGGCTCTGTACCAAAACTGAGCAATTGTGCCAGTTTATTATGACATCACAGAGGTATTTCATAAGATTTTACCAATAATACAGTGTTTTTGTCAATCTTGACAGGTGATTCACAATTTAAGATGCATACCAATCCTTTAAAATCCTTAATACTACCATGGGTCCATTTTACATTTTTACTATATTTCATTACTGCCCCATCCCCCGACTCCCCCGGTTACCATAGCAACCATAATAGTTACTCGAGCTCATAATTTTGTTATGAAACTATCACATGTTGAAGATAATTGATTGATCTTGATACATACTAATTTTCAGCCAAATTCATTAAAATCTTTTTGAATTAGAATAAAAATTTCAAGACTTATGGGACAACCCTCGTACAATCTACGTAAAATAGACGAATCGTTTATAGATAATGAACAAATACTGCCCAGGTTGAACGAGGCTATTACCATTGAACAAAAACTCAAAGATTCTGAAACTTTAGATTCTGTGTATATTGAATTGAATTTGAAATGCTCGTCAAATCTGAAATGGACAATAAGCTCCCAAAGATAAAAACAAACCAGAGTAAAAGAACGAAACACATGGCAAAACCATACTGGTGCAATGAACTTCAAGAAAATGGAACATTGTATCACAAAAAGAAAAGTTATGGCTTAAATGTAAACAACGTGGAACACGATTCGCACGACAACTGAAAACCGAGTACAACCAAGAACGTAAACTGTTCGACAAAATGTTACGAAAGCATAAAAGACGATATCAATTACGAGAGCAAGAACATTTACTGGAACTTTTTAGCAACAAATATGACCAACGATCGTTTTGGGAAGATATTTGGAAAATTGGAATGTCCAATGATCGAACTACAAAAATACCTATGGAAGTTCAAATGCCAGACGGAAATACAACAAACGACAAGAAAATAGTGTTTAATACATGGAAAAACGATTTTGAAAAAATGTATAATGATAACAATGACCTGAATTTTGATCAAAACCATCTTGATAACATTACAACATTTATGGAATCTAACAACTCTGATGAGCCAAATGACCTTAACCCAGAACTTAACCGGGATATAACGCATGGAGAGGTAGCAAAAGCCGTATACGCTGCAAAAGTACGGAAAGTGGCAGGTTTTGACGGGATACCAGCTGAGACACTAAAAAACCGAACATGCATTGATTTACTCTATAAAATAATCACCACATGCTTCAATCTTGGTCGAGTTCCAAGTTCATGGAATAAAGGAATTATCAATCCACAAAGCTGGTGACCAGTAAATCCCTATGAATTACAGATGTAGGTATCTGCCTAATTTCGGTACCATGCAAAATATATTGCACCATCCTCAACACGAGACTGTTAAGGTGGCTTGAAGCGAACGGTAAACTGTCTGATCTTCAAAACGGATTTAGAACTGACCGCAACTGTATTGATCACATCTACTCCCTGACGTCAACCATAAGGAGGCGCAAGAATACTCGACAATCAACGTTTGTTGCGTACGTCGACGGGCGCCGTGGCTTCGATACTATCAACCGTCAAATGCATGTATTACAAACTCATGATATCAGGCGTTAAAGGAAGCATAGCATACTGCATGCTATACAGTCCCTTTATGTTGATGTCCAATATGCAGTGAGGATAATTAATGGTACGCTTTTTTTTATTAAATTATTCATTTGTACAAAGAATACAATACAATAATACAGTGTTAGTGGCTGTGCTTTTAGCATTATTAGCCACGTTCTACAATTACAATATACAATGTATTCAATCAATACTATTGATTAAAATAAATGAGATACGATAAGATAAAAGTTGTTTTGTGGAGGATTTCAGACATTTACACATCGCTCGAAGAAAATGGCACTGCACTTTAAAACAATCAGATTCTCAGCTCTACTTAATGTTTTATCACCATTGAGGATCAGAGAAAGTTTATCACGTTGTGTCTTATATTTACGGGAGTATTGTATATTCATATTTTTAAGTTGGTTTTCTAATTCAGTCCAGAATGTTAATCTCAAGTTACATCGAAAAATCACATGGCTGGTTGTTTCACTGTTAATACCACATGAGCAGATGGGGGAATTTACACTGAAGTCGTGACAATTTAAAAAGAGAATGAACCGTTTAGTCCCTTTTTGTAAACCCAAAAACGTAAAAACAAATTGTGTTTCATTTCATCGTATAGAATTTTCTATGTAACTTCTAACTAGATTTTCAAATACATCCTCAGATAGAAATTTCTATACAAGACTCCGTTGACTTTTCGTATAGAAATTTCTAAGGAAGTTCGTCCCGGTGTGAAAGGAATTATAGTCCCTAGGGATTATGGTCCCCCTTTTTAAAGGCCCTTACTGGCCCTGATTGTGTATAAGATAATAAGGGAAAGAGGTCATCATATTAATCAATGGAGAGTAGGACCCATCCTTGCTTCAAGGGTATTTTACAAGTATGAAT